TCACACAGAACCGACCGCTCTATTCCTCCGACCTCATCTTTCGTCCAAAGTGGCGTCCTTCAACCTGAAAACTAAGGCATATAGTGCAGGACTGGCTCGTACATTCGAAAGGCCAGAGATTAATGTGTATTAACCGTAGGAAACGCATTCATCATTTGAGCTCAGTAATCCGATGAATGTCTTCCTCAAACTTAAAAGAAGCATTTTATTTGTGGTTTTCCGGGACTTAGGCGTCACTGTCTGATGAAACGTTGATATTGCTTTAAGCACCAGGTCTCAGACCGCCCTATCGGATGGGATAACGATAGGCAGCCGACCATACACAGGGAAACTCCATGAATCATGTGATTTTAGCAATAGGAAATCAAAAGAGGCTTATTTATGGTTTTTCCATACACCGATAGATTAATACTCGGAGTCCCTCAAAGACTGATTCTCCTCAACGTGTCTAAGACGGATATCATGACTTTGACCGGAGACCCAAATGCTCTCCCTGGCTGTCGTCCAATGAGGTTCATTCTGACGATCATCACGTCCTTGATAACTATCGATGAAATAATGAGGAATAACTTCTTAGTCTGTGCTCAGGACAGTTTGTTCCTCGTTATCACGAACTTAACACAACCAACTGGCGTAACACGGCATCGACTCGAACCTGGACTGAATTTACTAACATTACAATCAGCTATAGATGACGAAGGCGAGTAAGGCTTTCGATCATACTGATCGGCTTGTTTGGACTCTCATCACGCACCGTTGTGTGCTAATTTGTCTACACGATTTGGTGACTGCATAAAAAACAGACGTAAATAGTTAAAAATTATCTAACTTAGATTTAGACATTTTGGTGAAGTTAGTAGAATGTTTAGTTAGTACCACATTGACGAGTGTAGAGCTACATAGGGCAGCCATTCAAGATGCAACGCAAGCAAAACTGCATCTCAGTAAAGAAGTTTCTGTTTCATCGAATTTTCATATACAATTGCATGGATCACCTTTCACAGTCAAACCGTACGTGAGAACAGGTATAAAAAAAGAAATATCACCGTTGATACATTTTGCGTACCACGACATAGGGACATGTTCGAACCAGTACGATCTTTCACTGATCACGATTCACCAGTCCTATACTAATTTGACGGGATTGAAGTTTGTACAAACAGTCATTGTTTGATCTATCTCGCGAGTTGCATCCATTGTTCTCTTACCGGAAGATGATTTTGACGGGCAATAGGAAGTCATTCATACGCTACAATGTGGACATCATTGAAACAACAACAAAAAATGCAAAATTTTTCACTGGCTTGCATTTCCTAGCTTCGGAGTAGTTTTGATGCCGGCCTACACTTTATTATCTATGTAGAATTGTATTCTCCCGAACGAAAAATGGGAGTGGAATCCTCTTAACTAAAACTCTATTCTCATACAAACGAATAATTTTTACCTTGACCGTTGACGGTCTCATCACAGTTTGCGGGTATTTGCGAGTTCGATTATAACAGTGCGAAAGTTGCACTGTGTATATCAAGTGAACTTAACAGCCCTGCTATCTATGCAGTTAAACGCCGAAAGTACATTTGCAATAACCACCGTTGCAGTTGTCAGAGGTTATCGCAAACGATTAAGTGCACATGGTACTCGGGATTCCTGAATATCTATCGCCGTTGTTTATCAAATGATTCCAGTGACCTTCCATGGAGCACTCAATCGGCCCTCACTATTATCACATGGTTACTCAAATGCATCATTCGACACCTGTCATGATAGACGAGCCTGTTCAGGACCAAGTGGTTTTTTGTCGGTATTCATGTTTGGCATTTGTTTTTTTTTTTGTGGATGGAGCAGGAACACAGGTATTCAATGGTCAAAGCATTCCGGATCGGAATTGTTTGCAACGGAGGGGGTAATCAACCTGAACTTCACAGACCTGATCACCAATTTGTGTCCATTTTTTGTTCCTCCTACCGGAACATCATAATATATGTTTTTTAAATTTTATTGAGTAGAATTTTATTTTATCCTGCAGGTGCTGTTGTTGTCCCCAGCTCATTACTTGGTGTGCTGTCTGGAGCTTTGATCATGCGCCACTATCGACCGCGAATCGACCGTACCTTGGCTGGTGTTTCCTTACTCATTGGTGGAACGGTTGTTACTACAATCATTTTGATGCTTATCAGCTGCCCCGGAAACCGTGTAGCTGGTTTAACAGCCACATATTCCGGAGAGCCGTGAGTTCCAATGAAACTTATCCATGTTCTTTGCTGGTAGTGCTGTCACTTCTCTGATGATGCTGTGGACGATTTTGATGAAACTCATGCAGTAAGATTCGTCCATTGTATCGTGTTTCCTCTTTGGTGACTACTGCACTGTGTTCGGATCCGTATAAACATCAACAGTCACATGAGGACGGGATGTGATCTACAGAGACCACATAAACATATCAGATGTCCCTTAAGAAGGAGCACAGTTTTGAAGATCGCGAGACACCAAAAGACACGACAGCCGATCAACAGCAGTACCAATCTCGCTAGTTCTGAATAGGACAAAGTGGAAATTTGTGCATGAGAAGTTGCACTACGATCGTACGATCTCACTGTTCGTCTGCTTTTGTAAAGTATCGTCCATCTCTGTATAGTACACTAAATCAAGTTCAGGTTCAGTCCATAAGCGATTGGTAACGTGCCAGCAAAAAGAGTAATTTTGAAATTGTGGTCGGGAGAACATATATTTGCAAATATGCTTGTTTCCGGTATCTCCGATCAATTAAAGCATATGGTAAAGGAAAGAAATGGAAAGGAGATAAAAAAGTACATATTAAGATTATGATGTCTTACAACTAAGTTTGTGAAGGGAACTGATGATAGCTGTTCTTGACAGTCCATTGGGCGTAAAAAATTTCCTCAGTCACGATCAAGCAAGAAGGCAAATGGTCTTTTATCGATTACGGCGGTTCAGTTCAGTTCTTACAACCATTAACCATGCACTTTAGTGCACCGGTTTGGGTTGCTGTCTTTTGGTTGGAATAGGCGTATTATATTTCAAGGAATATACTTCCTCTGCGTACAGGGTTTACCGTGGCACGCAGTAGTTGAAAGATGGTCCAAGGTTTTCAGGCTAATACTTGGCACGCATGTATAATAATAGTAACCACAGCACTTTGTCATACTGACTCATCGCTTGGGGACGTCGGTCTAATTGATAGTTTAATACACTGATTGTAGTAGTAGGAATGGATTTTTATTTTTTGGGCTTTGCGACTAGTTATTTTGGTGCTTCATCCTGCAAGGTAAATAAATATATATATCGTTTGTTTCCTAGCCGAACTGTTTCCATGCGCATTTATTACAATTTTTGTCCATTGGGGAAACTGTTAGGAGTAGATTAAACGTGGCATACTGTTACGTTGAGTGCTTCACCTTCCTGTTTGCAAAATAGAGGGTGCTGTGAGTGAAAAACTGCCTCGGTTTCCGATATGCAAACGATGAGAATCGAAGCCGAAGTAGCTCTTAACAGCGACAAGGCCTATTCCCTGTTACACCCGCAAATACAGGTGATACTTTGCGAGAAACGAAGATCTAAATACCGCTATTGCAGTCTTAAAAGCGTCGCAACTTGGTTTCTACGTTTTATACCAAGCTTGACGCATTAACGTGCGCACCTAGGTCTACTGTTGTTTGCACTAGCTGACGTTGAATCTTGTTTTACTATTATTTCGTCGGAAGCTGTTTTTTCATTTCGACATCATCCATTTCAGTAGCAGAAATGTGATCACGGAAATGAAATGAGCTAAGCTACAAATTCGAACGCGGTGATATCATCTATATTTGAAATGCTATGGTTTTCTATGCTTATCTTAAATGACCCTGTTCGTACTATAAACTAAATCGATTCACTCTAATGTCTTGTACGTCCCATTCTAAACATGTTGCTGTAAACGTACTTCTTTTTGGTGTCTTACTATAATCATAAACCTCTTTCTTCGTTCTTTGTTTACCAGTTGATGCAAAAAGTGATAATCATTAATTCTATTATGCTTATTTTCAATGGAGCCCCGGAAACCGCGGATCGACGTTAGTGATTCTCGATCCTTTTGCTGCCACTTACAACGGCGCGCACCCCATAGATATGTGTATTATTTATCAAAGCACAATGCCTATCAAGTTAAAATCAGGCAAAAGCCACCGAGTGAGCTCGCTGTTATCTGTTCGTTGCGGTGCAGTCGTGGTTTACTCCTAGCATTGTAACCACGTATTGGAAGCAATATTGAACAAGAGTCCGAATGACCACTCTCACATACATACATTTGTTTTGTTTCGCTTTCAGCTGGCCTTGGCTTTATGGCCCCGCCCAACTGATCAGTCCAAATTTGACTGCACCATGTAACGCACGTATTCCCTCGTCACCAACTTATTGGATGTCGCGGGACCTATATCTGTCAACTGATCCCGATTTGAAACCCCCTTGCTCTTCGTCTAAGTTCAGTCCAGTGTGTTGGCGAAGGGAAATCATGGACGATCCTGACCATTCCGGTATTCCCCGATATTTGACCTTTTTCAGTCCATGCCATGCGGGTTGCCAGTCTCGACGCATGATCAACCGTTCACGATATGTCACGGTCGAGGTATGTTCACGTTGCTCGTTCCTCGTATCGCAAACTGTGCCAATACCTCATCTGTTCATTAAGTTCGGTCTGTTTAATCGATGGCAGTGTTTAATGTAGTCCCCTGGCTTTTGTGCGATGGGCGTTACACTTCCTCATACATGTCGCCCGATACGTAATTGCCTTTGTTTGTCTGATGTAATGTCGTCATGTGAATTCTAAACCACTCAACTGAAAGGCCTCTTTGGGTCCGATGTTAAAGATCACCAAATTTCCTGGTCATTGACGTTCCATTGGTTTATGCAGTTTTATGAATTCCCCACTTACCTCCGATTAATTCTTTTTTCTCTGTCTAGAGAAAGAGAAAAGTTATTCCCAGAAGACCAGTGTCTAAACCTGAATTTCAATAGTTAGTGATAAATCACCGTGTTGTTTAGCTTCAGCCCAATTTGGATTCACAAAAAGGGATACAGTCCCCCTCCAATGTGTACACTATCGTGTTCAGTGATGAAATGTTCTGGGAGAGGCCTAGTGAGCCCAGAACCCACAGGTAAAGAATACTAAACGGGGGGATGCCAAGTCCCGTTCCATTAGTACTCTGTGAACATATATTTCAGCAGCGATCAAAAATGGACTTGAAAGAAACTCTAAATCGGGATGAGACTGTGTATGCACCAAAGCTGGGTTGAGCTTGCGGAATAAAAATCATGTGATTGGTTTGAGCAGTCCTCCAAATTGAGCATTTCACAACGCTCATCATTTCGGAATGAACGAAAATATCTGAGTTTAGGAGTAACCGACTGTTTTCTTCGCCCGGAGCGTTGTACCCCTGAAAGTTTTTCGAGTAAGCTTCAGACGAGAATAAGCGAACGCGAAATTGACTAACCTGATTTGGTCGGGGAAACTGGGAATCTCAACAATTTGAATCGTTTGATCCCGGGCTTAAATGCGACATGTGCCCTGAACGATTTGGTGAGCCGAATTTCCCTGACGTCGTAGTTGATTCAAATTTTAAAGCTTGTTTTTGTCCTAATGCTAATTTTTTTGACATTGAATAACAAGTTCTGAACATTGGCACTCAAATGTAAAAAGGGATACAGTGCTTCCTCCTTTCCGGGTTTCGAAATTACCAAAGTCTAGGCACGGACCAATTTGAGACATCTGTCGCAGTCGCGATATCCAACGGTCTGTGAAGGGTTTATATTACAACAACTGGATCAGTGCTGCTATACCGCTCAGAAACTTAGCCATTACGAGAGCAGTACAAATATGGACTATCGGTATTCGAACACCGCTGTCTGACCCGCATTGCACGAGTCTAGTGAGTAAACCGGACGAGCACTGCTCAGTCTAATAACAGTTCTATGGCCGCGGTGGCCCACCCGACCGAATAGTTGACTTCCATGGATTACGTAGGTTTGGGCATGTGTTACACATGTCATCAAATAAGTTTCCACTGCATGCGCTGTTTGCTGAGGTAGGCCGTAGCTGGAAAAACGCTTAAGGCGATCAAACTTAGACCTGGCATAAGGGTGTGGAAAACCTTGACTAAGAGACTTGCTCACATAGTTCGCCTTATGCTTCTTGAATGGGGACCTCGGCACTGCATCAGGACCGAAATGTTAATCTTTCGTTTAATCTCTTCCATCGCTGACGGAAAACAAACAGCAC